GGGAGGCCTATGTCCAGCAGTGGACGTGATAAATGAAGGCTGGATGATGATGATGATTATGATGACTTTATTCGAAACATAATCTTTTGGCATTATAATTTAAATATGATTTCTGTCATATGACTGTCATGGCTGGCTCTGACGTAGTCTTATCTGGAGGTTCAATTTTCGATCACTTTTTCCAATATTTGTCGCCGTATATTGGCTATAACGCGGCGAATGTTGTCCTCCAAGTGGTCAATCGTTTCATGTTTATCGGCGTAGTCTAGCACCTTCACGTATCTCCACCTCAAATTGTCTCTCAGTGTTAAATCGCACGAGCTTGGAGGCAAATTCAAGGTCTGAAACGTGAAACTATGCGGTCACCACAAGTTTCCTTCAATAAGACAATTGTGGTACGATCTGTTTGACATGTTGCGTCGTCTTATTGAAACTACAGCTCCTGCACATCATGCTTGGTCGATTGGGGAATGAAAAGTCAGTAATCATGGCTCTATAGCGGTCACCATTGACTGTAACGTTCTGGCCAGCATAATTTTTGAAGAAGTACGGTCCAATGATTTCACCAAACCATAAAGCACACCAAACAGTCAGTTTTTCTGGATGTAATGGATTCTCAACATACATTTGAGGATTATCTTAACTCCAAATAGGACAGTTTTGTTTGTTGACGTAGCCATTCAACCAAAAGTGAGCGTCATCGCTAAACAAAATTCGCTTATGATAATCGTAATCAACGGCAAACTTGTTTTGGACCCACTCACCGAATCTACGCCTTGCTAGTTGATGATGTACCTTCAATTCTTGCGTGATTAAATGAGTTGGATTTTGTAAGCACGCAAAGCAAGATCTTTCCGCAAAATCTTCCATAAAGTGGATGGACACGTATCCAACTGCTGTGCACGATGATAGTTAGACTGATTCGGGTCTTCATGTATGCTACGCTCTACAGCAGCAACAACTTCTTGTGTACGCACTGTACGACATGTCTGTAGATGTATATTATCATTTAGAGTAAACGTTGTGCAAAAAACGTTCCATAGTTAATCGAATTACTTGCTCTGATGAACTATTGTGTTGACCATAAAATTGACGTAGTACGCGAAACATATTTCGAACAGAACTAACATTTTCAAAATAAATTTGTACAATTTGGAGGCGTCGTTCGGGTGTCAAGTCTATTCATGCTGAAATGCCAAGCCGAACTTAACATAAATCACTTAACAGCTGTCAAAATGACCGACAGTTAAAAAAGTGTTACCAACTTACATTTCTATACCTCTAAAAAAACACCCATTACTATTTGAAAGACAACTAATTTATTTTTTCATTAAAATTATAAAATAAAGGGTGTTTCGTTTAAAATTATTACCTTATCATTTGTGAACATCCTGTATTTAGAAATTCGATATCGATGTAAATTCCTGAAAGAACGTTACCTACTCTTTGTGTGCAAATGTTTGTAAATGGATGAAATTTTAGAGAGGTATTGAAACTGTAAGATGACAGCCGCCTTTATTACAGGATCCTTTAATAAAGTACAAAATAGTTCATGTCTAAAAGATAGTTATTGCTATCATGTCAAAGAAATCTTTTATTTTGACAAATGACATTAAATGTTTTTGTATAACATAAAGATAACCTATAAATGCCTATTATATCCTATTACTTACTCCAACTACGTATATAGTTAATCCTAGATTAAATTAAAATGCGATCATTGAAAAGAGTAACACGTTCAATTTAATTAAATAGTTATTTAAAGAATTATATAATCCATAATATTCATCTTACAATGTGGAAGAGTCATGAGAAGATATAGCTAGTTTAGCTGGAGCAAATGATAAAGAAAAGAGTTGTTACTTATGCTTATTATCGGTATAACATAATACAATAATCATGAAGATTTACTAATTGAGAATAATAATAAAGACTAAAAATAATATTTATTAAATACAACAGAACATACAACAAATTTGATCAAATATATAATTGTAAATATAAGTGAAGTTAGAGTTAGACCTATACGTCTTTCTACACGTAATTTGACAGGTTACGTCAAAATAAGGGATCTTTAAAGTTCTCTGTTCCGTATTTACCTAACAGTGGTGTTAAAAAGTCCTGCATCACCTAAGTGCCTTATAGTTTTTGAGGTTTAACACAAGTTTTTTGTATATTTTCAATAATTCATTTTAAGTTTGTGCTTGTAATTAGCATTTTTGGTATACTTACTAATGTTTTTTTAATTACTAGCTCAAAATTCTACAGAAAAGATTAAAATAATCTGATTGAAGCATCGAGTTAGAATCTATGGAGAAGCTATGAGCATATTAACGTATGTATTAAAAACGGCATAGGTAGGAGTGGCTAACTATAATACCAATATGGCGGTGACATCAGGGCCAGACTCAATAATAATAAAACTACTATACAAATATGACTAGTTATTCAGATTTAATCATAATCTAAAAAAGTGCAATACATTTTTAATAAACTATGATTTATTTATCCCGTGGTAAACACTAAAAACACGATATATTATATATAAAGATAAATTAATCCAGTCAAATAGTATTAATTTATTCTCTGAAGTACGGGCCATTACTTTGTTTACATATTTGTATACTAACCTGTGGAACGATATTCCTGAAGATTTTTTATTAACATTACTTCTGCTACTGCAACTACGTTGAGAACAAGAAACCATTATTATGCACTATCACAATATATTACAGTTGCTATAAAATTATTATAAAACTGAAAATATTCGAAAAACAACAAATATAACCAAACATATACGATCTGTCAAAAGTTTCAAAACAATAATACCAATATGGCCGAAATTAGGTCGTTTTTAGTCACGTGATGCCCTCTCCATAGATTCTAACTCGATGGATTGAAGAGATTTCCCATAATCCGAGAAAATTATGAGGTGATTATTAAGTCGTTAAAGTACTATTAAATTGAATCTTAATGACAAATTTGCCACATATTTTGACTATATAAACACTGTAGTTACCCTAACACATTTATTTGCTCTTTGATTTTTAATAAAAAGGTCAAAATGTCATCCCAGACCAAACTAAATTATCGGCCGTAGAGCGTTTTGAAATTATTTTTCACTATAAAAACGACAGATTTAGTCGCGAAATAGCATCCGCAGTAAACTGTTATCAATCTACAGTAATTCGAGTCATTAAGAAGTATGCTGAACAAGGTAAAATTGACGACAGACCGCGTAGTGGCCGACCAAAGAAAACTTCTGTTCGGGATGACACTGCGTTAAGTAGAACAAGTCTGGCAGACAGAAACCTCAATTCCACCCAATTGACGAATCTGTGGTCTGAATCTGCAGGTGTAAGCGTGTGCACTTCCACTGTGAAAAAAAAGACTGCTTAGTTTTGGACTTAGAGGATGTAAGGCACGGAAGAAACCACTGCTTTCAAAAAAGCAAAGATTGTACCGTTTGAAATGGGCCAAGGAACATCAAATCTGGACAGCAAAGCAGTGGCAGAGTGTACTGTTTAGTCTTGAATCCACTTTCAATATTAATGGTAGGCATGCTGGAAATGCCTACGTCAGAAGATTTCCTGGTGAAGAATTTTCTCCAAAATGTGTTCTTCTCACAATTAAACATCCAACCTCCGTTATGATATGCGGTTGCATGTCCGCTCGAGGAGTTGGTCGCCTATACGCTGTCTCTGGGATGATGAATGCTACCAAAGGCATTGAGGTACTACAGAATAAGATGCTGCGTAGTGGAAAAGACCTGTTTGTCGAAGAAAAATTTATTTTTCAGGATGATAATGCTCCTTGCCATAGAGTAAAATTGGTTAAAGCTTGGATGGAGAGTAATTAAATTGATAGGAAGGAATCCCCGGACCTCAATCTCATCGAGAATTTGTGGCAAAGAATATCAAACATCATTTCCAAAAGCAAACCAACAAATAAATCGAAATTAATCGAATCTCTAATCCACACTTGGCATCACTGTATTTCCATGGAGGAAATGCAAATATTAATAAAATCCATGCCCAAAAGATGTGAACTAGTTATTAAAAACAAGGGCTGGCCAATTAAATATTAAAATTAGTTTAAATTACTTCAATGTGACAATATCATCTTAATGTAAATTTTTGTAATATTGAATAAAAAAAATTTCCGAACTACATTTTTTTTATTAATCAAAATTTTTGTTGTGTTTCCATTTTATAATATAATATGTTGTGTTAAACATTAAACATAAAACATTAAACATTAAACATATAATGTTGTGTTAAGTGCTTGTTTGATGTACATAGTAAATGGTTAAAAAATATTTAAGGTAAATGCCTTAAACTTCTATTCTCATGTATTTGGTAAGGTGATGCAGGACTTTTTAACATCACTGTAAATACAGGCGGCCTATATCTTATTAAAGGATAAAGGTAAAGGACGTAAGACTGCTCATGCGTTTTTGTCAAAAAAAGGTGTTTTTACTACATGACGACATAAAACACATCTTCAATGCATCTCTATTAATTTTGAAAAAGATATCACTGTCAAAATTTTTGAAAAAAGATGAATAACTCAAAAAATATAAAGTTTTGTACTATAGTACCTTGTAAAAATTTTGTCCAGAATTTTGTATTCCATTTAAAATGATAAAGTTGTAGTTCACTTCCGGTATAACCGGAAATGGCATGTCTGTCAAAATATTTTCTTTAGGTTCGTCATAATTTGTAATCCCCATAAACCAATTTTCATAAATACATTGTAAATATTTTCCGATATATACATATATACATAGTGTAAACTTGTCGTGAAACACTTTGTATAAAGGTCAGCCATATTAGGACATGTAGGAGTAGCCTACACAACGACAATAAAACCAATTTAATGACTTATCTCTTAACTACTTTTATACGTTCCTTATATTTGCTTAACATTATATTGTTCATCCTCCTGTGTTAGATTTTTGTAAAAAACCCTACAAAAAAGATATTGCATATCCAACTTACCCTTTCTAAAACCCAGCTCGTCTTTTTGTAGCTGCTGATATATATCGGGATAGTCTTCCCGAATGTCCTTAGTTTCTTCATCGATAAGATCATCTTCACTCTGCCATTTATCAAAGTCGATTTTTAACCAAGCTGGCTTCGTAGGTTTCGAAGTCAATCTCGGCCACCAGCCTTTGTCTGCTTTGAATAGAGTTAAATCTACCTTATAATCAGTTATTGTTATATTCTTCATCTGAAATAAATTTGTATTAGGTTTTATCCTTTTAAAAATCATCGATTTATCAGCTAACAAATACCAAATCACAAACCGAAAAATTAGTTCAGAGAAATAAGTTTATTTTGACGTTTCGATGTCCACTTCGGAAATCGTTCTCAAAATATAAAACAGTAATACATTAAACAAACTTTGATTTTGTTACTTGGTAAAAAAAATTTCTAACAATTTAATTTTTTCTGACTCATTCATATTGACAATTCAGACATATACGTATTATACATGTTAAAGTAGATGGCTTTAAAATTATATTGACAATATTTTCCTGTTGCACTTCTGGAATGACTGTATTGGAAGATTCGGCTACATGAAATCAACTTTACCTTAAGAATACCTGGCAGAACAATTATAGCATGTCATTTGTCTTTAAAAAGACAACCACATGCAATAATGACAGTAAAATTCTCCTGTTAGTGATTCTATAGTAAATCATGAGGAAAAAAACCTCATAATACTATCCCGACATGATATTTCTTCTTACATTTAGTTTACTCATATTTATATTTTTGTTTGTTTGTATTTAGATAACTGCGGACACTAAATCCATTCGCCACATATTTATATTATTTACTTGCTTGTGGTATTTTATATTTATTGATTTCCTCTATTAATACATGTAACCAGATTTGCGACTCAATTTGTTTCATTTACCATAAATTATAGACGCTTCTTTGATTTTTCTCTTTTTACCAAGTTTCTTTCAGGAATATACTTTAATCTTTCCATTCTTATGTTCATTTTCCCTATGAGTATTTACATATTTGAGATCTATCAAATTATTTATTTTTAATATAAGATTGATGTTCACTTATTCTAACATTGCATGGTTTTTATGTTTTACCTAAATAAAAGTGTTCGCATTCACAAAGTATTTTATAAATACAATTTTTTGTCTTTTCTTGTTCATGGTTTTTTGATTTAGTTTTAGATAAAATAGATCTCAGTGTTAAGGCTTAGTTAGCAACTGTTGTAAGTAGCAATCAGTTGCTACTTAAGGTCCATTTAGAGACTAAGTCTCCGAACCAGTAATCCTCGTTGGTAGTTTACGTTGCCACAAAGTGAATCTACTTAAAATTTTAACACCCTACAAAAGTATCAACAACCGTGTAATCTTATACCAATTAAATATCATTTAAAGGGTTTTCACCCATATACAGAGTGTCCAGAAACTCTCCTAACAAACGAAGTCCGGAGATTCCTTTGATAATGTTAAGACAATTTATTAACCCAATTTAACTAGTCCGAAAATGCTTCCTAAGAGAGCAAGAGCTTTTTGAAGATGGCGCCTTGTAATTAGTTTGTTTAATACCTCCAGAACGCTTCTAGTTAGAAAAACGAAAACTGGTACGATTATTTATTATCCAGAGTTTACCCAATTCCATCAATTTAGAATTTCTAGTACCGGTCATAGGCGTCCCTTTTGGGTAGGTCAACGGTTGTTTTAACGCATAACTTTTTTGTCTTTATCTTTTAAGCATTCACTATACATTATACAAAATTATTAAATTTTCAGGTATTCTAGTAGTACAAGGTACTCTTACTTTAAGTCAGTAGGATACAACGTTTTCTAGAAAAATCGACTTGAAAATTTTTCGTTCTTTCGTCATGAAAGTTAAATTAATAGGTATCTAAATCAAACTAACACAAAAGAAAAAGTATCAAAAGTAGATAGTTGTAAAATGTGCTCGATAACATGTGCTCTAATGACCGTTATAATAGTCTCTATGCATAAATTTGACCTTTTGCTTACAGAACTCCGAATTCTTGCGAAAATTCCAAAGTTATTTCTAAATTCGTTGCAAGCATCTTGTATCCTTAGCCAGAGTTGTGCACGATTTTGTAGCAGAACGGAATAAACACAATAATCGCGAGGTTAACATATGGCGAACTTACTGGCTAAGCAACTAGACAGCTTCTTCGAATCAATTGGTCTTCGCAGTTATTATCAAGAAAGTCTCGTACATTCCTGTAGTTTTGCCGAATATTTAAAGGCGCATCATCTAACGAATTAGGTAAAACATACTGCAGGGAAAGTAAGTAATCAACAGCATTTCAACGAGCAGACAGTTCTACAGGCCCAAGTAGATAATCGTGAACTACTCCTATCCAGAGGTTTATGCGAAACCTATGCTGATGCTTCAGCGCTTAAACAACGTGGGGATTGTCACAAACGTACGAATAATATTGTGCATTATGCACATTAAATATTAAACTTTTTGTGAATGTAGCTTTGTCGCAAAACATAATGTATCTGAAAAAATCTTCATTTTGATTTTTCTGATTTTGTAACCATCTAGCGAATTCTTCACAAGCAGAAAAACCTCCTTGTAGCAGTGCTTGTACAGTACCAGTGCTTTGTAAAATAAAAAGAATACAAATTTTCGTTGTGTACGATATTTCCTACGGAAGATTTTGAAATTGTGGGATACATGGCATGTAGTCTTCGAATGCAAAGTTCTGGATATTCCTCAAATTCCATTAAAATAACATTTACACGTACTGCTGTTATATCATCATGTCGAACCATGTTTCATTATTTGTTGAACAGGTTCACTGAACCTGTTTCTCTTGTTGTTGAAGAGCTGTAAATGTTGACTGAGTGAAATCACGATTGGGAAATTTCTCAGAGTATCTACGTTATGCTGCTCGAGCGTTACACCTCATTTCGCCATAAACTAAAACATATTAGGGTAATCCTCATTAGTAAAAACCATTTTTGTTGAATTTAAATTATTATATTTGAATGCCACAAAATAAAAAAATAAAAGATAAACTTCGTGAACTGACCACAATTTGACAATGAAAAACGTAGGTTATACCTCTGTTGATAGGTCCACGGCCAACTAGTGCAAAAAATATTAATTTAACTTTGATAGTCGATAGAAAACGGTGTATCCTATCGACTAAGAGTATGAGTAACTTTTAGTTCTAGAATACTTGAAAACTTAATAATCTAGTATCACGAATGCTTAAAAGGTAAAGACAAAAAAGTTATGCGTTAAAATAACCATTGACCTACCCAAAACGGACGCCTTTGATTGGTACTAGAAATTCGCAATTAATAAAATTAATTCAACACTGGAGGATAAATATAATACTCTCCAAAATTAACGCACTGCCTAAAATGAACCATGATTTTTGAAACTATATTTCTTTTGAACCCTTAATTGGCTTTTGATAATTTATATTTCACATTATAGGTATATTTCTAATTAATTACTATAATAATATTTTTTGAGAAATGTCAACGTTTTACCTATATACGGGGTGTAAAAATAAAGTTGTGTTTTTTTTTCATCTAATTTTTCAACACCCTGTAGAATGTATTAAAAACAAATGCTACATGTTATTAATATTTCGAGATTACCTCATTCTTTCTCCACATTTTCGTAAAACAATCATCTCAATATCTTTATTATCAAAAAAGAAAAGTATGTTTAAAAGCATTACGTGATTTTCTACTCTCCAAAATTAACTCACTACCTCAACTCTACCATAATTTTTAAGCTATTTTTCTTTTGAATCCTTATTTGGATTTCGATGATTTTTTTTTCGCACTGCAGATCTATTTCTAAGTAATTACTGTATTAATGTTTTCTGCGATATGTCAACGTTTCACACATATACGGGGTTTAAAAATAAATTTGATTTTTCATCTTATTCTGCAACACCCTGTGGAATTTATTAAAAGCAAACGTGTTATTAATATTTCGAAAAAGCTTTATTTTTTTCAACATTTTCGTAAAAAATTCATCAATTTCTTTGTTATCAAAAAAAAGTACTTTCAAAGCATAACGTGATTTTATCGAATTGTAATAGTGATTACTGGAAGCAGTTATTTGGATATGAAAAATCAAACAATTTGACAGGACAGTTTTAAACTGTCAATATTGTTTACATTTCAAATATATAGTTGACATGGACCGTATTTCAAGAAATCTAAACCGAGATGAATGTGTTCAGGCAATTACTGTAGCTGATGTAGGGTTAAGTTATCGTGAGGCTTGAGGTTAGGAGTATCTCATACTACAATATTACGAGTCATTCAACGTTTTTGAGAAACAAACGACCATACGAGACGGCGTGGACAAGGAAGAGGAAGACTCACCACACCACGTCAAGATCAGTTTATCAGGCTTCCTACTATAAGAGAACGTTTTCTCACAATGAGATATTTATAAATAGGAGTGACAAATGTTTATAATATTCAAATTCGTAGAAACACTATACAAAAGTGTCTCGCTGAACAATATCTGCAAATAAGAATACCAGTCAGAGCACCCACTTTAAACGTAAATCATCGTAGAAGTAAATTACAATTTGCCAGAGAACACCTTGACTGGAATATTAACGATTGGAGGACGTGTTGTTCACTGATGAATCAAGGTATTGCTTATATAGCTCAGATAGACGCGTGAGAGTTATTCGACTGCCAAGAAAACGCTACGCACAGCGCAATATACGACCTATTACTTTATTCAATGGAGGATCTGTAATAGTTTGAGGAGGAATATCTCTTACAGCGCGAACGGAACTTGTTGCTTTACGAAGAGGTTCCTTAACAAGTGAAAGGTATATTACAGACATTTTGTCTCGCCATGTAGTTCCATTTGCTCCTTATATAGGAAATAATTTTCTTTTAATGAATGATAACGCATGTTGCACGTGTGGTCTGTGAATATTTGATCGAGGTTGGAATACAAACCATGAACTGACCACATGCAGCCCTGATCTAAATCCCATAGAAAATTTGTGGGATATTATTGATCGTCAACTTAGGAGCCGACAACCACCACCTGTCTCTCTTGACGACATAGAAGTTATGGTAAGAGAAGTTTGGATTGCAAATTGCAACTGATCAAGACCAAATACGCCGCTTGATTTTAAGTATGTAGAGGTGGAAATACCCGTTATTAAGTGTTTGTCGGAATTGCTAAAGATTATTTAGATTATGTTTT